AGACACAGCGAGAGAGGGAACACAAGCAGGGGGAGTGGCAGAGGGAGAAGCAGGCTCCCCGCTGAGCAGGGAGCCTGATGCGGGGCTTGATCCCAGGACCCTGGGACCCCGGGACCACGACCCGAGCCAAAGGCAGACGCCCAACGACTGAGCCAACCAGGTGCCCCTACCCTAGAACTCTTAACCGCTACCAGCTTGCCTTTTCATTCACAAAAAGTTCTGCAATTGTATTTTAACCTAGAGAGGTCTTGTGGCTGAGCTATGGAAAAGGTATACCGAACCTGGTGTGGGTTTCATCAACCTTTTCAAGTTCTGAAAATCCATTATTGCCTTGGCACACCTCTTAGCCAACATTTCTTTCCTCTTTTTTTCCTCTTTCTTCCCTCAGTCCCCCACCCCCTCATGTTTTTGAGGGGTATATAGATCTTGGTAAATACCAGTAAAACCTGAACTCATACACCACTAAAAATGAAGAAACAAAGGGAGGTGCTGTCTTTCTGTTTCTCCTTTGGGTTTGTAAGCCATTGGCCAAGAGGTAAAAATAGCTTTTATTATTTTTATCTATCTTTTCTTTAAAATGCTTTATCACATTTGGGCTGGACTTAAAAGGCAGAAACATGCCAGACTTTAAAGAGTTTTCATTTCATGTGGTTTAGGAAGAGAAGCAGTACATTATCAGCTGGCAAAACGGGGAGAGAAAAGAAAATAATCATTTCCTGAAATGTGCAGCTTTGATCTTGGTACCTCCATAGGACCGACATCTGAAACAGCAGTTTAAAATCACCCTTTTCTCTTCAAGAAGAAGTGCATTCTGTCCCAATCACATCCAAATTAGAACCTGATGTCCTGTGAAGATCTAGCCGTGGAAGCTTAGACTTTCCACAGCTGCTGCTCTTGTCTGAGTAGAGCTTTAGAGCCCTTATGCGAATACCCTAATACCCTGGAAAAGGCAATAGCTATTAGTATGAATTTCTCCGTTTTTAGTTCTGGGAAGTTGAATTCCTGGCCTGAGGGACTCCTTGTGGCCTGCAGCATTTGGATAAAATTCAAAACCGAGAGGCATTGACCACATTTTCTCTTGAATTCTTTCTCACTCTAACAAGTAGAGTCTCCAATTAGCCAAAGATTTTAACAAGCAAGATTTGCTCCTTGTTCCAGCTAATGCCGGCATCTGACTCATTTGGACCACTGGAATTTATTTAGTCAAGTGTGCTTTGAAGAACTGTCTAATCCGGGAAGGAATGTATTGAGGTCTGGTCATCCAGCCCTTTCTTCCTTCCAAATGAAGTATTGATTTTCATGCCACTTTAATTGCCCAGTAGGGTAAAAATGGAATGGAAGTAACTCCCAGAACAGGTATGAGTCCAGTGAGGCTTAGCACACTTATATCTGTCTCGTACTGGGCACATGGTTTTAAATTTGGAAATTGGCCTTGTGACTAGAAGACTGCAAGTTGGGGATTTTTATTGCTCGGGTTAGAGCATGAAAGGCTGGAGATGAGACTGGGAGTAGACCTTCAAGTGAGCTTTTCAATATTTATCAGTACCTTTTTTTTAATTTTTTAAAGATTTTATTTATTTAACAGAGAGAGAGAAGAGCAGGGGGAGTGGGAGAGGGAGAAACAGGCTCTCCGCAGAGAGCCCCATGCGGGACTCGATCCCAGGACCCTGGGATCATGACCTGAGCCAAAGGCAGACGCTTAACCGACTGAGCCACCCAGGTGCCCCTCTCAGTAGCTTTAGCCTGAAGCAAGATCAGTATCTCATTTCAGAAGGGGCAGGTCATTTTCCCAGTGCTCTCTAGGCTAGCCCCAGAGTGACTTTTTTTTTTCTTTTTCCTTTTTTAATGAACTGCAATTTAAGCAGTGATCTAGAAGAGCAAAACTTTTTGATTGACAAGGAAGTTGTAGCTTGTCACCATGTACACCGACCTCAGAAGTGTACCGACAGCCAGCCAGGGAAGGAAAGTCAATGGACAGATCTGGAGGTAATCACTATGAGCTCTATCTAGGGAAGGAAGGCAGCTTGGTTTATTTCCTTTTTGGATTGAAAGGCACATATCTTGTTCTGTCTCTGGCAATGAGATCAATACCGTGAAATGGCCTTTTCCCTTTCAGCCTGGCATGTTCTTTATTTAGCACGATGCACTGAGAAACGGGGAGCCAGGTGAGCAATATTTTAAGTTCCCTGTCTGATGGTTCTAGTAATTCTAACACCTGTGTCATTTTTTTATTATACTTGGTAGATAAGCTTGCTAAAAGCAAACTCACAGTATGGAAAGAGGAAAGCCCAAACTTAATGAAGTCATAGATTAGGGAATTGATCATTTTAATGGGCTGTTTATACCTTACAAAAGCTCCTCCTTGCAGATATCCCTCCTTGTAGATAGAGTTAAAGGAAGGTTGGCTATTTATTTTGATTCATTTTTTTTTCTTTTTATCAGAATTTAGAGCAGGAAGGGAATAAGAAATGACTGTCTTAACCTTACTATTTCACATGAAGAAATGGGCCCAGACGGTGAGGCATACTGCCTTGGGTTCCTCAATAATACATATGTATTTGAAAGTTAGTGGTTGCCTATGTTTACACT